ATACTGTATAAGTAAAAAGGTTCGCGCGGGAAAAAAGTTCGCGCATTTCGCGCTCGAGCAACTGCGCGAACTTTTTTCCGCGCGAACATTTTGCCCCCGCGAACTTTTTTCGCCCTCGGACTTTTCGGCCTCCTCCCAAATGGGCCGGGCGCTTCCCGCGTTGTGGCCCGTTGGCCTTGCACAACGGCGACTGCCCCGTGCGGCGGTCTTTTGACAAGCAGCGACTGCCTCGAAGGAGTCCTGAGCTGGCCAACAGATCGCTCGCGCCGGTGGCCATCGGCCAGCCAAATCTTGGCAGCGAGGATGTGCCATCTCCCTGACCAGGCGGTTCTGTGCTCCTCCCAGTTTCTAGTCATGCAGAAGCCTAGCTCGAGCCCCGTCCAGCGACTGCCCCAAAGGAGCCCTGAGTTGGCCTGCAGATCGCTTGCGCCAGGTCGATCGCTGGTGGGCATTGGCAAGCCGAATCTTGGCGGCGAGGAGGTGCCATCTCCCTGACCAAGCCGCTCGTGCTATTCGTCTGCGGCACCCGGAGGGTCAGGACGGCGGCCGGGGGGCGGCGCAGCACAATAAGAAACGGCGCCACCCCTGGCGAAGGTCAAGGGCGGCAGGAGCCCGATTCCGCAATGTTCGCGCGGCGAAATTTTTCGCGGGCGAAAAAAGTTCGCGGGGGAAAAAAGTTCGCGCACCGACGACTGCGCGAACTTTTTTCCGCGCGAACTATTTTCCGCGCGAAACACGCGAAATTTTTTCCACGCGAACTTTTTTACTTATACAGTAACCTCTTAGCGTCACAGGTCCTCCCCAAGCGTAACAAAATCGACATAGTGTCTTCCCTTAGATTTCAATGAACTGATCATAGACATTTCTTTGCTCTGGCAAATTAGGAAGCTCACGGCTACCTCATTGCCTTGTTCTGTACAAGATGATGGTGACGATGCTGATGGACAAAATTTGGACTGCGGCTGTGGACGTGAGCAGCACAAGTTCGCACTGACACCTTGCAAGCATCGCAGTTGACTTTGCAGTACTTGGAAGCTCATCAATACACAGATGACTGCTAAGCGAGGTGAAGGAGTGGCACAAAGGGCATGCAACATTAGAATCGAAAGAGCCACGACAATGACGCCAATAGATGCACACGCAATCCCAGAGTGTATTCCTGTCGCCCCGGGCGACTGGAGCAAGCACTCTGGACGCCATTGCCACCCAAGAGCATGGCAATTGCCTAATCACCTTACTGTCAATGAAATGTACAAGACTCCCATTCAGCCGCACCTGCCGCTCCGCAGCTGCGCCGTTTCCGCCACCTTCCAGCATGGCGCGCAAATTCACCATGTGGGTCACCTTCATCAGCCCGTTGGCGTCAATGGTCACCTGGTAGACAGGACAAACGCCGACCAATCGATGCTGAATAACGGCCAAAAAGCATGACTAAGTTCACACTGCCTGGTGGCGTTTCAACCGGGTTTGAACTACTGCTCCAGCGCAAAATTTCGGTAGCACTTCGGAAGTAGTGCAAAATGTACACCAATTTGATAGCTTTTCCAACACAGTCGAAAAATGCGTACAATACGCATACAACATGGTATCAAAGATCTGGGATGTGCGCATTTTGCCATGTTGATATCACAACCATTCCAACTCAAGATTCTGTGGCAGCAGTGACCGCCATTAGAGGGGCGTTTTTGGTGGCACAGGTGGGTCTCGACCTGCTTCTTGGTCGTTGGATTCGTACGCTACATTGATCGATGCCGTGACGCCATGTCGACGCACCCGCGTAAGGGACAAACGAACAAACTCAAGATTCTCAAATTCAGACATGTTAGCGATGTAAAAATTCAATACTCGCAGCTGCGTGAGTAGCCAAGGCAGCGCCTTTCAGCCCCGGTATGGGCGATTTGGGCCATTCCCTTTTTGGCAACGGTCACATGACGAGAACGGATCGTCGGTGGTGCCAAACGACACACGTGCATCATTGCTCCACGTCAGCCTCCTGTACATCGCGGTCTGTTCCAAGTAGTGCTCCCAGGCAACCCGAGGCGCCGAGACCAGGCGATATCAGTCGCAGATGTGAGACTGGCACAATGCTGTCGGGTGCAAGAGTCAACGAGCAAATGGGGGCCCGTTGGGACTTGCCCCACACTGCACATCGAGGTTTCTGCATTCTCCACAGGGGTAAAAAATCGGCCCAAGTACACGGCCCAAGTTTCCTACTGTGCAAAAATCGTGTGAAACCGTGTCAAACCGTGTAAGAATCACGTGTACTCACTCAATCATTACTTCACGGTTCGGTCCCATTCTCATACGACAAATACACGATTTAGCACAACTTAACCCGATCTTCAATCGTGTTACACGGTGCACGACTCTCAGAACCGTGTATTTCGACCTGTGTTTTACTAGTGGCAGAGATCTCCAGTGCGTCGTGGCTACGCTTGGGAGGTTCACACCTTCGTTGACACTCCCTGGTCCCCCTTGTCCTGCGGGATCTTGGAGAAGGCGGTGTGGAGTTGACGCCAGCGGTACGGCCAGGACAGCCGCGGCACTCCGCACTGAAAGCCGGACACCCTGTCCATGGGCAGCTCGACCTGCGCATCCAACGGACACCTTGTGGCGCCTCCGTTCACATTCACCAGCGCTTTGAACCCACGCACAAGTGTTTACCGTAGTATGCCATGGTAATGTAACGCTTGGCCGTTTTTTGTGGAGAAAGCAATCAAATAGATTACGGTTTGTAACAACTTTCTTGCGGAGCCACATGAAAAAGCCGCTCTGAACTAAAAATGCGGAGCAAAAGGCGAACGGTAAAATTTTGTGATGTAGAAGGGTTGAATATACTACCGTACGAAGAGATGAAGGGGAGCACGGGCATGTGCAACACATTGTCTAGGGGTCCTGATGCAAACACTGCCCTGTCATGGGCACCGCGCCGATTGGGGCGTGGCTGTGCCTCGAGCGCATCTGTCGAAAATCGCCAACGCGGCCCCTTGCGCCCCCGAGGGGATCATCGTGGCGGGCACTTTTCCAGGTGGCCGGCGGAAGACACGGCTTGTGGTGCGCAGCGACTCGTGCAGTCGTTGTTTTCATTTGGCGGCGCCATCACTGGTCATCAACGAGCATGATTATGGGCACAGCGACTAAATATTCTTCAACGCCAAAAATGCCAATATCGCACAATTGTTGTCGACATTGTGGTACACTGTTCAAGCTCGCGTATCACGTCAGGACAAAAGTTGCGCATCCTGTATGTATGTATGTATCCTGTATGTATGTACATCCAGGATGTGCTGCTTCTCGACAGCGCGGAAAGGGAAGGCCACCCGGAAACATGCTGTAATGAGGGACATTGGAAGGGGAAAAAGGCATTGACCGAAAAATGGATAGATTCGAGTGAGCCGCATTGATTCGCCTGGCGGGTGAGTGAGCGCCCTATCGGAGCTAAAGTGCCGCTGATCATGGTCCTCAGTAAGTCAATTGTGCACCGCAACTGCCCGGTACTGCCGGGCCAACACTTTGTAATTGATTGATGAAGGCGTTTGAAGAGTAAAACGTGAGCACAGGGCAGTGCCGGAGCTGTGTCACGTGCTGCTGTCCTTCGAGCCGCACTTGCAGGTCTCCAGTGCCTTCCGAGCTGAGGCTGATGCCATTGCAGGAATCCAGCGACACGAAGACAGCGCCGTGAGGCCACTCCAGGTCGTCCGTCGCCTCCTTTAGCACGGATCCTGCCACAACCGTGTGGCGGCATCAGTGCGAGAGATTGGTTACCTTTCTTGTCTACTTGTTCGTTACTACCACCCTTTTGCAGTGGAGTGGTGGGATGGGTGGGGTAATGGTCAGGGGGCGGCGTTGACAGCTGCTTCTGTGCTTTCTGGTTGCACCCAAACACCCTGGCTTACATCTACTGTGTTCAAAATTATCTCACACAAATCCATGCTCCAGGGGGAGCTCTTTGAATGACATGTGTGTTTTGGAAGAAATTCTGTCAATCATTCCACATATTAGCTTCAGCACAATACCTCGCTTCAACAACAGTTAAGACGACTTGCTGGCCGTGGTTTGGATAGAAAATGCACAACAAACGGTACAATCGGCAATCTATTATGCTGGAGGGTGCACAAACAACGGCAGTCGTGGATCTATACCCTTCCCAGGCATCGACTGGTGCGCCATCACTGAAGCATATGTGTGATGCAACAATACCCCAAGACGTTTGGCTTCTTCATATCTTTTATGCATTTCTACCATTTCTTCGCATTCCGCCTCATCCGTGCGCAGGTGCCGACCAACCTTGGATGTGGAAAAATGAAAGAGGGTCCTTTATGTAATCTCCCAGGTCCCTTGGCGGAGCGACGTCCACTGTGTCAAGTCGTGCGTACATGCAAGATGGATTCCCACCAGGTCCCTCACTCATCCTGGCAGTTGCACACGCCCACACAGTCAGTGATCCTGAGCGTGACAACACAGAACAAGGGCACTCTATTTTTATAAGAGAATGTGTATGAGAAGCAGTGTATTTTGCGGAGACAGGAGACAGTGAAGTGGAAAACTGGCAGGTGCTGCCTGCCGCTGCACTCTTCAATTTGGCTAGCATGGTTTCTGGCTGGGAGGCACAGTGCACTAACGAGATGGGTGAATACCAGCACGCAGTCACAATGCAGAAACTCGCTTCTTCTGCATTGATGCAGGGAATCCCCGAGTGCACAGTCGCTGCATTCACACATGGTCTCTTCTTCCACTTTGTGTTGGTGGTGGTGGCTGCTGAAGTGCTGAACAGAACAAAACCGATTCTCTGCCACATGTTTTGAGGAGATTCAAAACGTTTTACCAGCTTTACAACAATTGCCAGAAGGCTCACACACACCAAAGTACCACCCATCATGGCCTCTCGATTCCACAGCTCGTCCACGGGGATATTTGACAAACTGATGGCCCAAATCAGCGATGTGTGACTTGATTATATGTTGGCCCAGCACAATGTTAGGAATATCCAATCGATTCATATTAGCTTGTTGGTAACAGCAGGGCCTGGGTTTGAGGCTTGCGTGACTGGCAGCGCATCATTGTGTCCTGCATCCATCTCCTGCGAATCCAGGACACTGTTCCCACAATACAAGGCAGGTTATTGCTGGTACATTCACTGTGCACTATCACCCCATCAAGGTAGGTTGTTGCTACCTGGCCGATGATCATGCTCCCAACAAGTTTCGATCGACAGCATCGATAGCGCTGTTGCAGATACAGTTTCAATCCAATGGTGGAAGAACACCCACCTTCCAATCAATGGTATGGGGTGCACTCTTTGGTACACAAAAATGGAATACCTGTTTTGAACGCTTTTGAAAGAAATGTTCTGAAGCAAGTGTCGTCGATGATAAGGGGCCCGCTGTTGCTTTAGGATGCAAATGCAGTGCTTTGGCAGTTTTGACAAATATATCACAAGGACTGATAGAAGCATGAAAGACTCCCAAGATTAGAACTTGAAAACAATTCGGTGTACAAAGGATACAGGACTCTGCCACCCTGTTTTAACGCAGGCACCATTGATTCCAACACAGCCCGCAGCCCAGTCCTTGGCACAGTCCCAGGGTTATTGTTTCACACTGCAAAAGTGATCCTCATTGTACAACGTCAGTGCTCAATTACTGTGTTGAGAAGGCAGCCAAAAGAGTGGACCACACAAAGCAAAAAAAATCGAGCGTGGCAGCACTCACTCCAAGATAAGCTCTCTCTCAGGCCCAGGGTACCTCATCTGCAGTTCCTGCATTCCGTACATCGTGCCAAACACCGACAGCGCATCCAGCAGCAGGCCATACCGGATGCCAAAGACATGCTGCTCACCTCTGCAGTCGAAATGTGAAAATAGCTGGCACAATCCAACAGCACATGGATCTGAGCAAAAGAGCATAAGCCTGCATGTTGAGCATAAAGCGAACTTGCAATGGTTGACCCCCTCCCAATCAAACGCCCATCCCAGACTCGTTTCACATATATAGATCACACGCAAGAATCTTCGATTGTGAAAGGCAATCTGTCTACTAGCCTATACTGCCTGCTAAAACAGATTGCACAGATGAATCTTTGCGTTACGTAGAAAACGACCAGTGTTCAACATTGCATGGGAAAATGGGAAACAGAAATGCACCCATGGGATGCCATACAAGCAGGTGCGAAAACCAACGACTTGTGCAGCAGGACCAACAGAGGAGCAGCGGAGACTGGATGGTGAAACTGGCAGATGCCTTGACAAATACTTGCAAGATTACTGGCACACACTGTGAACCAGGCATAGCGTGCCTGCAGTGTTTCAAATGCATAACCAGTCACTTGAAAGTTCTACTTCGATGGCATCAACTCTGCGATGTGCTAGTCAGCTTTACATTGCTGAAATGCACCATGAAAGCTCTCCACTGTAAGACCTTGCACTATGGTGTTGTGGCACAGTGCCATGTTTCTGTGCAGAAACATGTGGCAGTGCACTATTTGGGGCATCCCCTTTGGGTTGGGCAGGCTGGCCAAATGGATGCACAAATTCAGGACCTTTTGAATCTCGTCCCAAAGGAAGTGCAACCCATGCACGATATGGCATAATGTTACCAGCATCATGTGAAGTGTACAAATGTGATGTAGACGTGATACTTTAGGTTATACTTGGTCGCATCATGCCTTCCCCCATCACACGGATTCCCTTAAACCCCAACCTACAGCATCATGCCCAGTGGTACCCCCCACATAGCATCATGCAACCCCAGATACTTGTGGGGTACCAATGTGATCCAGTTGATGAGAAGCAGTACGAGGCAGCATAAACACTGGGCATGTCTTGTTTGGGTTGATCAGGTTGTCCAATCGTTAGGAGATAGACAATTGCAAGAGGCAATGAAATAAGGTTGCCTCTGTGACTTTCATAGGTACATCTAATGTGAATGGCGCAAGACACCCAGAAACAAGCAGCCGCTGGTTCTTCAGGTCCGAATCTAGCCACCCACATGGACATTCATGGACTGCGAGAGGTTGGGAATGACTAATCGTCTCTGCTTTGCCAGAGGCTGCCCACAGGAGGATGCACGGACACATAGGACATACAGTGGCTGCTCATGGGTAACGCCTCTGCAGATTCTGCGGATTCGATCCACACCTCAGGTCGAGGAATGCCAGCGGTAGTGTCCCTTCGCTGCAGTGCTTCATTCATCAGGGATCAAGATTTGCCAGCCAAGCCCATGTGCACAGTTCAGGCATGCGACCCATGAAAAACGTTACGATAGGCAAGCCCCACCTCAGAGCACAAGTAGACGGACGACTGCAGATTCTTTGACTCATTCTCCCATTGGACAGACATGCCATGATCGGCCACAACCACAGTGCAGTTCTGTGCATAAAATCAACTCAGCCACTACTGGATGCTATCAGATACCACTCAGGTACTATCAGCTCAGCAACTTGGTGCACGAATTTCACCATCTCCATCCATTCCAACAGGAGTATTACCAACTGCAGGTCATAGGTCCACATAGTTTGAACCACACAAAAAATGTGTTCAGGGGAATGGCCACAAGAACCCTCCACCACACCAGCCTGGCGTATGCAGAAAGGACACGAAATCAAAGCGACTGTGAACCAAACCGATCGGGTTGGCAGAGTGGTGTGATGGAGATCGGGAATACCAAGCAACAGGTTCATGATTGCAGTGGCGCAGAACCGCATTGATCACAACTGCCAACGTCCCTGGAGCCGATTCAGCGACAAAAACAAAAGTGATCCAGGCTGCTGTCTCGAAAGCAGAAGCTATTGGGATGTGGTTTGCACTGGGTTGCTCTGGCCACCAGTTACTGTGCGGACAGAATCGTCTTCACAGTCACGAGCGGCCAGTTGGACTCTGATTGGATCCGCGCGCTCTTTTCCGCCGGCTGGGCGGCCGCCCCACCGGCTCAGGCTCACCTGCTTGCCGCTGCTCTTGATTGTCTGCAGGATGGCCAGAAACTCCCTGACGTTGCTCGTCCGCAGAGTCGCCACGGTCGGGGTGTTCATGAAGAAGCGCAAATTGCGAGGGGGGCACGGGCATTGTCGTTTCGTGCAAGGTTCGCCATGTTGACGATATCGATATCGTTATCGTAAAATACCTGCTGATGATGGATTCAATTTTGCTTGCCCCTATCCGCAGTGCAAGACAACTAATCACGGTCACCGGGATTCGGGGGTGGCATCGGGAAAGCACGCCTGCGCCGGTGCAAGTCACATAATAAATGGGAGTCCCGGATGGGACGGGACATCTTTACATGGGGACGCTGATAGGTTGCTGACTGGTTCGCCACTGGGGAAGCGGTTCCGCTGGAGACGGCCTGGGAACGAGCTGGAGGCAACGAAGCTACAGACAGATCCCATACAGCGATGCCCCTTTACGGCCAGGCCATCTATTCAATCCATGTATCATGATTATTCCACATCAACGCCTCCAATGACGGCACTCCCATCAGCGCACACCTCGCTTCCCACCGCCTTTCGGGGGCCTTAAGACGAGGTGTTCTATTCTCAAGGCTGAAGGCTCAAGACTTGTAAGACGCTTTTGAGGCCAGCCGCTGCGGGGTGCCGGAGGGCGGCGCCATGCTGGGCCCCATCCTGCGAGAGGTCCTGCAGCAGGCCAGGCTGCGGGGCGAGGCCGAGGAGGGAGGGTTCGATGGGGCGGGGGCCGGCGAGGGCGTGACCGTCAGCCCCACGGGCACGCCCAGGATGCTGTGGAGCCCGGAGCAGTGGTGGGAGGCCTTCGCGTTCGTGGTGGGTGGCCCCACGCCGGGCGCCCGGCGCGCGCCTGTGCCGCGTTTGGTTCGTGGGTTGAGTCGATGAAAGGGACGTTGATGCCTCGCACGGCGCAGGGATGACAGCTGCGGGTTTCGGAGCAGACGGTTGCGCAAGTGGGATTATGGAATTGCTGACCGTGAGGGGGATGCCCGCCGGGCGCGGTGTTTCATTTCTGCGCAGAAGGCAAGCTTTGTTTTCAGGTTGTCGGTTGGGCGCAGTGCAGGGGTCATCGCTTGCCGTGCCACTCAAGCGTGACACCGCAGAATCCTAGGGGGACGGGGCCCGAATTCCCAGAGCCTCCTGAGCCCAGCGCGAGGGCGTCGGCTCTGGACCGCCGGCGCGTGGGGAGGCGTAATGATTGCCGTTGCTGCTGCTCCATGCAAGCCGATGGGCGACAATAGCAATAGGCAGTGGGACACCGAGGGATGATTTCGCTCGTTAGGAGCGCTGGGGACAGCCACCGGTGCAGAGGGGGGAAGTCTTGATGGGCGGCTGGGGTCCCCGCAGGCCCTGGCAGAAGGCAACAAGCAATCGGTGCTTGTGCAAGTTTGCCTGAGCCATGAAACCAGCTGCCATTCCATGTCAAGTTGTGGCACTCCTTCTCCCAACTGCGTTTGGAACCAGTGATGAACCACTGCCCTGGCCGCCTTCAAGGCAGTGACAGACACACAACTCAGCCGTCCTCCCCCAGATCCCAAAATATGAGCAGTAGCAACCCACTGAAAATATTGTGGAGGGGATTTGCCCCAGGCAGATGTCGATTTTCCATAAGCCTGACGTGGCTTTGTCCACAGTTGTCAGCTGAGTTGCCTGCGATTTGTTCACTGTTCTTGGTGTAGTGTGTCTAGACGATGCATGACTTATTGCACCAATTTGCAAGTCGCTTGAATTGAAGCAAGGGGCAGCAGCGCTGCTCGATGTTGCCAGTACCTTCTGTTATGAAGGATACAGTTACGCAGGCTGAAATAATTTGGGACTCAGAGCCAGTTTGCAAGGTGCAGAGCCATGTGAACGTGGTGGTGCTTCCATTTGTGCTTTGGTTTGGTCTATCGTTATGGGTCTGGGTCCTGTTTATTGAAATACACAGGTGGATTTGCAATTCGTGTTTGTGTTGCAAAGCGCGAATGCCTTCTTCCATTGTTTCAGAGAGAATCCTCTAAACCACCAATCTTTCTTTGCCACATCGCGTGTACAATTCCTTTGGCTGTTGGCGGGGTGATTGGCACTTGTGATGTTGTGGCATCAGTTCTTTTGGAAGAGCCCCAGCGACAGAGTGAAGTGCAACAATGATGACTTGCTGTTCTTTGTGGTCCACCCTGAGTGCTGCGTGGCCAACTCTCCACCATACTTTGTTCGCCGAAAGGGGCAGGAGCTACCTCCCGAACTTCAAAAGGATGGGCCACGGTTTGGCGAGGTTGACTGGTGCGAGACCTTCCTTCTGAACCTGGTCCTTCAGAGCGACTACTTGCTGGCAGTTGCTGTTTGCAGGTAAGGCGAGTGCAGTAGGTCATTCCAGAATGCACAACATCACAGCACCAACAGGTCAGACACAACAAGGGGCAGGAGGAGCACAGACCACTGTGGCGATGCAGGCAAAAATGGCGTGATCATGGCAAAAATTCCATAATCTGTAGAGTGCTGTAGAGTGTGCAGGAGATGTGGGTGTTGGTTTTAGTTTCTTCTGTTCTGTGAAACTTGGATTGTATAAACGTTACCAGCACTGTCTTACTCCCTTCACACTGTGTACGTGTATTGGGACCCATTGAATAGTAACACTTTCAAGTATCTTTCCCTGCCAGATGCCTGTGCTGATAGGGCATGTGTGCTATCATGCGGGCAGGAAATGGGCCCACACCTAAGTCCCTTATCTGTTGGGTGCCAATGGTTGTTTGGCCTTTGTTGAGCCATGTTGCGAATTCTTTCATCCCTGAAGGAAGTCATATTCTGACAATGCATTGGTATTGCTTTTGTGTGAATCAGTGGATGATGCAGTTGGTGTTTGAAGTTCAGCACATCTACTGCAAACAGTTGGGAATTCAATTCGGGAATAAGTCACTAGCATTGGATGAGCAAGAATGTTTGGCACATGCAGAAGAATGAAAATAATGAATGCTTATGTGTTCTAAGTTACCAGGATGTGACTTCCGTGGAGTTTGCAGACACCGTGTTCAACGATGGAGCTGCCCGGGTGACCAAGAAGGTGTACGCGTCGCCCACTCGCTCAACAGTGAATCTGGAAAGCACAAAGATGGAGATGGCCAGCCCAGTGCCCTCCTACCCTGATATTTGTTTCGCTGTTGAGAACTTTGAAGATGCTTTCAATAGCATGGTGAGCTCCCAACACCACCTAATAGGCCAAGGGCAGCGACTTGCTGCATGCTTTCAAATGCAAAATGGGACTGCACAACAAGGGCTTTGCACTTTCAAAATATATTTTCAACGTAGTATATTTTTTGGATCAAACACAGTGCCAACTGCACAACATGCTGCTGACCTCATTTTCATGGCGTCATTTTGACCACGCTGATTTTATGCACGGGTGCGTGTGGATTATACAAGCAATACAATTTCCAACTTTGTCCTCTGGATGTTGCAGGTTGTTTCAGAAGCAGGTCAGCATTACTGTGTAATGCTCTTTGCTACAGATGGCCTTGGTCTTTCAGCCCAGAACCTTGCTTCCAGGGTAAGCCACTCATGGGTTGCTAGCTTCAAGAACGTCCCTGATCGCTGTTGCCACATGAAGTGGCAATAATGGCAGTGCTGGCATATGCGGGTGGCCCGATGTTGGGCATTGTTGACCAGATAATTGTTGTGTCCAATTTCAGGAAACAAGCCCACCAACAAGCTAGCTGGCCTTGTGCACACTCCTTGGGATGGTGGCCATGTTGTCCAGCATTATAAGGCTCACATGCAAATTCCTTCAGCCTTGACAATGGCCCCTTCATTGCCTTTCATCACACTGTTGGTGCCCTGGCTCACACTATCCCATCAATAGTTCAGACTGTAATCAGAGGATTTACAGCAGCCATATTCACCCAAGCTATTGTTTTCAAAGTGCACACTGCAACGTGATGAAGAGGTGTGCATGCAGAATTGCAACACAGTACTTCGCCACTGATGGATGCTATTGCTGCCACGCTGGATATTGGTGGAGTGGACAACCAAACCCAGCATCCGATTTGTGGTATTCCAACAATTCTACATCACAGGTTATGGCACCTGTGCCTACCCAATATGCGCTACAGAGCAGTGTTATTCCCTAAGTTGTGTCCCCAGAGAAAACAAAACACTGGCATTTTACACATCGGCTGCAACGTCACCGCAGAAAGCCATTGTTTGTAGCATGCGAAGTGACCTATTGTGACAGCGGTTGCCATTCTTTACTTTTGTGGCACCATTTTTGGAGCACTTTGTAGTGGGACAGAAGCAGACACCAGCCACAGCAACTGTGACAAGACATCGTCGCCTTTTCCAGGACAGGCATTGCTTTGAGCCTTGTAATCTTCATCATCATGGAGGTCTTGGAGGTGCCTGACTTGCTCAAATTTGTAAATAAGTATGATGTGCTCTGTTTTGACCTCCGGCAGTATTTTTGTTCAGGAAGATGAAGAACTGTATGAAGAGCTGCCTGGTGGGGTCGACACTGGTTTGTCCAATGAGTTGACATTTGGGTTGAGCAATGACTCGGCTTTTGTGTTCATCCCTAATCCAAACACGATGCAGGCTGTTGATGACATTCAGAGGACGCCAAGGCAGTGTCTGCAAGGTGATGAATCAGCAGATGCTGAGGGCAGTGGAGAAGTACCCGCTCTTAAGCAAGAGGGCTGCAACAACATGGATGGTACTACAGTTAATGATGGAAGCACTGCCCAAGGAGAGGATGGGCTGAGGTTTGGCAATAATGCGGATAGAAAGGATGATAGCGATGGAAATGATACCCAAGGAGCAACAGCACAGGCCGGAAATCGGGACCCTCCTTTCCCCTCTCACAGTCAGGATGACAAGGTGCAAGATCTTGTGGATTGTGAAGACATGAACGATCCACCAGATGGCAGCGGACAGGCTGGTGAGCCCTCCCTTGAGCAGCTGAACAGCAACAAGCAGTCAAGCGAATGTGTGGATCCTGACTATGCAGAAACCAGCACAGATGAAACCCACGATGCAACTGTCAAGAGCTGTTTACAGGAGGCCATGCAGCAAGGCAGTGACCCAGAGGAGCAGCCATATGCAGTCAGCCATGCCGATGGAGCAGTAGGGAAGTGCCACAGCGGATCTGAAGGTGGCCAGCAACATCCAGCGGGCCCTGTTATTGGGGAGGGAACAGACCCAGGAACATCTGATCTCCATAAGGGGAGTGTAGGCAACGATGCGTCTTGTTCCAAGGGGGGAGATGCAAATGCAGAGTTGGCTTCTGATGGAGGCAATAGAGAGGAAGCTGCAAAGGCCCTTGGCCTTCGGCTGTTTGGGGGATACGTTGGATATGAACAGATCAAGGTGGTCCTTGTGGGGCCCAGCACGGTGCACCCACAAACCGCCACAGTACGAAGGATCAGGATGAAGGGACCAGGTAGGAGCTGGCATTGCAGATCCGATTGGCATAGTTGGCTGAGTCCATGGTGGAGGCGTTATACCATGCTGTAGGCGCTGATGTGGAAGTGCCTGAATTTTTGTGAGGAGAAGCACGCCCAAGACTGAACGTTGTTGAGCATGCAACGTAAGCTTCAGCCCCTTGGAGCGTATTTGTTTATGCTGACCATCCATTAATTGCCGTGCTTGCCATGAAGGTGCTGCACCTGCACTCTTTCAGCAGTGTTTTGCTACACTGCTGAACACATGACGATTTCTAACAGCACGCTTCGGTTCTCTGTGTATTGATTGTTCATGCTCTGGGGGTTATGGTAAGCAGGGGATGTTCTCTGCAGTGAATTGCTTTGTGCAAGCATCGACACTCATAATTTGCCTGTGCAGATCACTGCACCACAGGGGAAAGGGAAAGGAAATCCAACAGTTTCTATGGATGGCAAGTTGTTGCCGCTCCCTGCAAGCATCAATGCTGCTTCAGTAGTCCTGGTGTGCTTTGTTTGCTTGTTGGGGATGTATGGGGAGAGATTGTTGCCGCTGCATTTGCAGGTGGGCAAGGCTTTGCAGAAGTGGCCGTGACGTTGGGCATTGATGACGAGGTGCAAGAACAGGATGAGACTGATGCTATGCACCCTGACCCTGCTGTGAAGCTCTTAAAAGACGGCTTGAAGCTGGGTCCGAAGGCATTCCTGCAGAGAGGGATAGGGCTAGCAGCCAACTCGTTGAAAGGTGAGCCACAGAGGCCAGGTTTGATCCATCAAGATTTGAGTTGCCTGTGGCAAAGGGCACATCCAATGCGCATGCTTGAGAATCAGCTGCCACATTCTGAACCACAGTTTGGCGGTTTGTCAGAATGTGAATGACGCAAGCACTCTGAGACACTTTGTTCCGGATTGAGTCCCACACAAATGCTGTTCATGGATTGCCAGTCGTGGTCTTTAGAATGCCTGGGCCAGATTTGGCACTGTCGATGATTGCAGGTAAAACGCATTTGCATCTTGTGGCTTTTGTTGTGATGTAAATGTCCCTGCACACGTGCCGATGGTCATGGTCTGGCATGTGTACAGGAGCCATCAACAAATTGCGTGGGGATGAAGCTCATAACAACATTGCCTCTGGTGACGTGGAGTACAGGCTGCAATGTGCACTGATGACGCTCAGCCTGCCAGTCAGGACGCTTGCCTTGCAGATCCTCGAGGCAGCATGTTCGGCTTGACAAGGTTGCATAGTGCAAGGATACTGATTTCTATCTACAAAGTGACTGCAGACATAGGGGCACACTGGTGTTGGGACACCAGGCAAGGAGATGAGACTGCTGGTCCGAGGCCTGGACTCGACCAGACACATGGCTGAATTGTCTACTTTCGTTGTTCTGAAACAACAAAGGGTTGCCCATTACTCTTCAACGGCAGGCGCAGAGGGATTTGTGCTGCAACCAATGGTGGGGCTGTCAGCCTGCCCGCTCCTCAAAGCAAAGCACCAGGAAATGCTCAGAATATCTGCCATGTTTATCACAAATTTGCTTCTGGTTCGTTGATGTGGGCTGTGCTCTCAACCAAGGTGGGCGTGTATGTGCACAGTTTACTGTCCCAGCCCATGGTGCCCATTTTGCGTTCCTTGTTAGTGTGTTTTTTCTAGAGCTGCCGTGCTGTCATGCACTTAAGCCTTTTCTGCCGAGGCCGCTGCGCTGCGGGTGTGGAGGCAATTTGTTTGGCGTTGGTGGATGTAACTGCATTCATTTCTTTAGCTGGGTGGGGGCAGCAGGCCAAGGCCACATTACATACTTTGGGATTGGCGAGGTGCTGGTCTCCACAGCAGGCATGTGCGCTTGGACATTATGCTGTGCAGAGGGTGGGGTTGTTGAGAGAATTGAAGGCAGGAGGCTGCTGTCCCGATCTGGTTTGTTGCTATGGCCAAGTGGCACAAAACATGGGTTGCCCATCGCCGGGATCGCGCCTCGACGTGACTGGGTGGCTCATGTTGTTGTCACCCTGAAATGTTTGTAATCTGTTGTGCCCTGGGTGTTTCCCAAAGTATGTACTGCTGTGCGCTGAAGAAAGCTCTTGGCACTTTCGCAATTCACATCAACCCCTCCCCATGTTCATCTGGTGCACCAGCCTCCTGGCATTGTCACAGTGCGGTTTAGGTGTTGCTGTTGCAGATGCGGTCATTGTGCACACTGTCGCACCCAGCTTGAGGGGACAGGCTGTCTTCGCAACCATGTCCACACTACCATACATACACACAAGCACATATCTTATCGCCAAACTCGACTTGAAAGATCTGCTTGCCGAGCCTGAATGATGGATTTCCTGATCGGCTCAACGCTGTGTCAGTGTCATTGCCAGCACATCGCCTTCGTACTGCAATCTAGGAACCCCTGACGTGCAGGGTTTAGCCGTTGCGATGTTGACCTTGGCCACACACTCCCATGCGGCAGCCATCGCATTGCTCCTTGCATTCTCAGGTCGCCCACTGATGGCCACAGGCAAAACTGCAATCTTGGGAATGCAGATCACAGTGGCACATGCCACGAAATCCTATACTGCCTCCAGATTGGACACAGTGGCTTTCGCCAGTGTAGGACATCGCAGCAGTCCGTGATCGGAACAGCGTGGCTGGCGGGATGCAATTTTTTGATGCATGCCACGTTGAAATCACGCATATACAAATTATTAAATAGATTGGCAAAAAAAGCGCCGCTGCCGGGAATTGAACCCGGGTCTCCCGCGTGACAGGCGGGGATACTGACCGCTATACTACAGCGACACCTGTGAAAGTGGCATAAGTTTTCAAATATATATGAATAAAATTTCTTTTGCGCCTCACAATCACCACGTGGTTTTCTTTACAAGGCCGGACATCTGCGCGGGCTGCGCATGCACAGTCCTCTAAGTAACCCAGAGGCATGTCGTTGCACGGTCGGGCGCACTGGTGACATGGTCTTTGAGGCCTATGACGCTATGTGAATGTATAATATGTTGGTTTGTTTTTTATGTTGCTACGTCGTTATAGATTAGTGGTGACGGCCGTCTTTGGAAAGCCATACCCTAATAAAGTAGGGGTCCCTATACAGCGCCCCCCGCCCCCAATAGCGCCCCACTTTCGGCTATGTTACGGAGGGGCACTATATAGGGTCCCCAACTGCAATGCCAAAACTCTAAGGCAATGCCCACCTTAGCGGCGCTGTCCTGCCAAACGTTCTCTTTGTGGACCACGTATTTAGAGGGGCACCAGGGCGATTTGCAAGCACTAATGTTGTTTAGTCATGGGCTCATGCTAGCGAGTTGTATCGAAGACACCACAAAACTCAACATGAATACACACAATCCAAATATGCATATACAACCCTTGCAAGGACGTGCCCCACATGGGTTGCCATCCTAGCTGGGCCTCACATAGGCCCATCCTATCACAAGTTTCAACCCCATGGTCTCTAAGCCGGCGATGGGTACAGCTAAACAGAACTATCAATAGTAGCCCCTGTCAAGGCAGCCCAAGTTGCCTGTCACATTGTGAAACAATTTGTGTGCATGAACAAAGTGCTAAAACAGCCTGAGTTAGCCAATCCAAATTATTTGGGTGATGGGCGGTGCCAGGGATCCCCGGATTGCCCTGGAGTGACCTGTAGCAATGCATTCCGGAAAAGCCCAGCACCACCACGTGCCGGCGAGTGAATTCCACCCTTGTGTGGCGTCACGGATACTCACCACGGCTCCTAAATTCCCAAAAGAACCTGCCGGCGCTCAACTCAGGGCCATGCGCGCTTTGTTTGCCACGGGCATGAGGTGAGTCGCTCTGTCTTTGTGTGTGGATCCCATCTTGTTTCCGGACACCCTATACCACTGACCGGCGCTGGCCTTGTCAGCGAAAGGAGAAAGGGTCCGCTCTGAAAGACAGAGGGACTGATATATTCTGGTTTGCCAAGTTGTCCGCAAGGCGCCAACGTCAGCACTCGCGCGACCGCGACGTCTGTCACACGGGCAGCGCACAACCGCGGCACGGTCAGGCCAGGCGGCTCGCGGCAGGGGCACAGGGCGTCGCACCCCGGAAACCAAGGCGCCTGCTGGCGCCATGGGCGGGAAGGACCAGGAGTGCGTGAAGGTGCGCCCGAACGCGCCTGCCGCTCCGCCGCCGTCGCGCCAATCTGCCGCCCCCGTCGCGGGAGCGCCCTTCCGGAGATCCCGCCACTCGCGGCGCGGGATCCGCATCCGGAATGCCTAGGTATACCTGGAATCCAGGATGGCTTCTGCCTTGTGCGGCAGGTCGTCGTGAGGTGCCGGCCGCTGAACGCAGACGAGATCAGGGATGGGCGGCAGCAGATCGTCGAGATGGACGTCCAGGAGGGGCAAGTTCGGGTGTGTGCGCCCACAAGTTTGGAACTAATCCAAACGAGTTCGCCGGCTTGGGTGCAGTGGCAAATCCATTTCAAGAGAGTTCGATTGTGTGCGAGCGAGGTCAGAATCGAGCACAAGGGGTTGGGGGCGCACCTCCTCGGCCCAGAACAGGGACTGTTCGCCGGGGTGCCGCCCCCATTTGCTTGATTTCGGGTGGCGCCAACGGCTCAGGCCGGTTTGGCCAGCCCGATCCGCTTTGGGACTCAGTCGGCGCTCGCCACACAATCCTCGGCCTCCCAGTTCTGCCTTTGTTCGGGCATGGCGACGCCATCAGCTCCTCTTTGGTTTCAGTGTATGCATTTGTTCCTTGGCCGGAGGTCGCACCCACTCTCAAGCCAGCCCGAGCCCTTCCAAACCGCTTGATTAATCTGGACGGGGGTCCCTCAACGCCATCTCAACTTCCATTGCTGCTCGTGGTCCCCTGGCAGGGGGGTCTGAAACGTTGGTTGAGCGGCGGCGCGGATTCTCAAGTGCCCCCCTTGGCCGCTGGGTTGCCGCCAAAGCAGTTCTGACCGCGCGGGGCTGTTTGGCCGCAGGTGCGGAACCCGAGGGCGGACCCAAGCGAGCCCTGCAAGGTGTTCACGTATGACCAGGTGGGTTGTTGCTGGCAGGGGGCGGGGACAATGCAGGCCCAGAAAGAAGCCACTGATTCTGATTCCAGTAATGCGAGAATTCAATGTAAGAACATTTGCGGGATGTTCTCACATGCTTTGAATGCCTTTCCTTGCTCTTTCTACATTTACTGACATTGATGCAATTTTGCAACCTCTTGGCGTCCATGTTGTGCGCCCCTCCCCACGCCACTCGCACACCCAGCCACCCCAGCCACGTGGCTTGGATGGCCGTGTCTGTGGGGCCGCACCCTCCAAGTTGGAGGCTCCGAATACACCGCACCCTCAACCATTGAGCACTGAGAATGCCAGCCGACACTAATAGTGGTGATTTAGATTGTTTTGAATGGCTGACGAATGGAAAGACTACTCAGCAGTGAATCCTTCAGCAGGCGATAACGATCAATGCCTATTGTCTAATATTTCCATGCTGTGTTCATGTACGCTCCAATGCGATGCTCACATAGAGCAGTATGCTCAGGGAAGTAACTGAAGCCGCTTAGCTTGTCGTCGTACATGGTATTTGTCATCCCACTGTCTTCTTCCATGTTTCGCTCCCAAAACTTATTGGCTGCTGGACAGGTCTATGACTGGAATTCGGAGCAACAAGAGCTATTCGACATAACGGCGAAGCCTATTATCGACGCCGTCATGAATGGATACAATGGTAGCACACTCATTAATTCTTCTGAGTTCTCAGTCATTTAAGAGAGCGCAGAACGCAACCAATGTTTTATCTCCTGTCCGCTGGATGAGTTTTGCGTTTTTTGATGATGCTTCGTCATTTCCATGCAAAGGCCAACAAAATGCAGACTATGGTGTTTTGCCGTACCCATCGCAATAAGTTGAATCGCTCGTTCATCGATTGTTTCATGCAAACAGTTAGCATAATATTTGTGGTGTGTCTTGGGCCATATCAGCACTTTCGTTTTCCGGAATGCATGTTGCTGTTGCCTTTCGTACTTTATCATTTGGAACTTCTAAGGTTTCAGAAGTAAATCAAGGCACAACTGGAAACTTTTCATCAGCTCTAGAAAGTTGCAGGGCTGGTGGAATCTGCTTTGATAGCAGGATGACAGAGAATATCAACAAATGAGTGGTGAATGAATGTATAACACATGCATGGCAATAAATTGCTGGCCCTGAAAGCTTTCGTGGCCATTTGCTTTGTGGCATGCTCGATATGCAGGAACTATATTTGCGTACGG